TCAATTCCTTCCTCTAGCAGTTTGGGATGATTGTACATCAATTTATAAATGATGTACAAATCATGCGCGTCGGGGTCCGCTTTGTCCCTGCGGTACTGTTTTCCGATTTTTGACCTGCGTATCTAGACGTTATCCCGCTTATTATAGGGCTTTATTACAACAGAACACACAACATAAACTTCAGTCCACTTTTAGGATTGCCGAAAGGTATATTTAAAGACTGAGTATAAAATAGTACCAAAGGCTTTCCCGTGGCTATGCTGCTTACAGTTTGGCTGGCATCTTCCAAACTAGAAACTCCTCTGGAACTGCATGAAAACTGAACAAAGAATTCTGACATCTGCGGTGAGTGACCCAAAATAAACTTACCTATATCCATAATTCGATCTCTGCAAATGTTCCTAAAATGTGCCGGTATCTTAATGTGCCGCGTATCTACTTCCGGGTTTTTCGGGATCGCCCTTTTCTTGTTTTACATAGTGTTTTGGTTATGCAAAACGTAACGGAAAATTACTGTAAAAACTTCCGTGCATTGTATTAGACTGGATTTGTATTAATTCACTAATCCGATTACATTTCTTTGCGTTGATTGATTGGCATTTGCGTTTATTGAGCGGCCGGAACTACTTCCGGGTTTTTAACGATCGCTTTTTGTCGCAGTAGAAATAGTTATGTTTGTCATGTTGACAAGACAAGAAAAATTCATGTAAATCTCCGTGACACGTGTGTGAAGATGTAGATGTATAAGTATTCTCCGATTAACATTTAAGTGTGTTGATTGAGAGTGGCTAGTCGGAGTGGCAGTAAACTATGCGCGGAGGTATCCACGCTCAATCTACACTCTTAAAATGTTAATCGGAGAATAATTTTACATATACTTTCTGCACACACGTGCTCGGAGATTTTTCAGAATTTTCTGGTTCTTGTCTTCATGAAAAATATTACTATTTCTCTGCGTCAACATAATATGCGAGCGTGAAAAACCCGGAGAGTAGTTTCAGGTCCGCTCAAAATCGCAAAATGCAAATCAATCAAACGCAATGATAAAGTTAATCGGGTGAGTGATTTATACAAATCCAGTCGTATTACAAGGGCACGGAAGTTTTCAGAATTTCCGTTTACGTTTTCATACAAAAACACTGTTGTAATACAAGAAAAGGCGATCCGAAAAACCAGGATAGTAGTTTACCGGCAAATTTTAAGTTACCGGCACATTTTAGGAACATTAGGCAGAGGATTCGATTTATGATTTAGGTTTAAGTTTTTGTTTGGGTCACTCACCGTGATGTTCAGTATTCTTGTGTCCAGTTTTCATTGCAGTTCCAGAGAGAAATTCTAGTTTGGAAGTTGCTGCTAACTGTTGCTAGCATAGCCACGGGTATGCCTTTTACACGAACTATTTATTACTATGTCATTATTTAAACCTTGCGGAATTTCCTAAAAGTGGACTGAAGTTTAGGTTGTGTGTTCTGGTGTATAAAGCCGGTATAAAATGCGGGTTAACGTATATTACGGGAAGGTCATTATCGGATAAATAAGTACGGGGGGGAACAGGGCAAAGCGGACCCCGACGCGCATGATTGTACATCTTTGATTTTTGGATGTACAATTTCATCCCAAACTGCCTGAGAGGAGGAAAGGTGACATCCTTCCTGGATTCTACAATATGTATTTGGAAATCTGACGCCAAAATATGTTCATATTAACCATTTGTCTTTCTGATGTTCAGTTTTATTCCCTGATAGACATAGAGCAAAATCACCACTGACACCAAGCCACTGATAATGAATTAGTAAAACCCAGAGAGATTTATTAGATTAAAATATATGTTTAAGGATTGGCTCAACAGCAAAATATGCAAACATATTTGTAAATTGATTAGAATAGTTTTAAAACTATAGTGGAATCATGACTTTGTACATGTTTTGTGCTTTTTATGACCAAGAAGTAAGCTCCTGTAGTTCTGGTGATCTTTAGACGAATTGTGATGGTAGATTTATGGTTGGTAATTCTAATTATTGCAAAGAGGGAGGTTTTCCCGATCTGCGGGGGGGTTTTTTGTCTGCTGCTTTTCAAGATAACTATGATTACATTTAGCTAATTATGATAGTATTATTTGTCATTTATTTTCTGATCCTTTATTATGACAGTTCATTTGAGGCTACCTCGTTTGTGGTTTGCAGACACATAAGTATTGTTGTGTTAATGTGTTATTTGCTATAGAATAATTATTGAATTCTCTTGTCCATTTGTAGTTTCTGTTTCCTCCGCATTCAATGTACAGTACTGTGATCTCCTGCCAAACCTGCAAAACCACAGCTGTTAAAAGATCCCCTGTCGATAGTGGTCCCCAACCATAAAAGAACCTCATTCTTCACAATGTTAATGTATGTTTGTGCATGTTTTGCAAAGATGTCCGTTTTTATATTCATGGGGCCAATTTATGGAGGCCCTGATTGGTTTCTTGTTATGGCCCTGTCGTATAGCTTTGTAATGCAATTTTTAAAAAGATTGAATATATATTCTGTATTCATGTCTCATGGGCTTATTATTGTTGTACGAAAGAGTTAGTCATCCTGTGTTTTTTTCCACAAAAAACTCTTAACTAATGTTAGTAACTGACTATGAGTCATGCACTGCAGTTTAACCTGTATTGGTATTCAGTGAGTGAACGCTGGCGCGCTTTGGAAGCCAGCTGCTCTCAGACTAACGCCGCTGGTCGGGACGCTGACAGTGTCCGGGTCAGCGTGGCTACGATCGGTAAGACCGCTGGCAGCCAAGTACAGCTTCAACCACCGTCAGCTCGGTCTCCTCAACGTGCGCTCCTCAACACAAGGGGCCTTCTGGTCTCGGGTTGTCCTCGTCGACCGTAAGCTGGAACTTCTTGTGTTTGACCGAAACCTGGCAGCAGCCATATGACTTTGCCGGTTGATCGAATCCACTCCTCCGGGGATGTGTTTACATCTGCCAAGCCCGCAGCTGTGGCCGCCGTGGCGGAGGTCTCGAGATTGCTTCAACGCGAGAATTGATTGTCTCACCTGTGCTGCTGCCCCTGTTTTTCTCCTCCTTCGATGTATCTGCTCACTGCTGCCCTGGACCTTCTCCTACTGTTGTTGCCACCATTAACTGCCCGCAAAACTTAATAAGGACTTTTTAGTTGACTTTTCTCTCCTTCTAACACAACTTACTCATCATTCTCTCATAACGCAGTATACTTGGGGCTCTTCAACATTCACATGGACAATAATTGCAAACCCTCTCGCACCAAAGACTTCTCCTTCCGGTTTAGATAGTTTTGGTTTTCAACAACACATTCATTTCCCCACACACAAATAAAGGTCACATTTTGGATCTTAATCTGTGCTTGGTCTCACTCCACTGACTGTAAACCTCTACTCACTCCCCATACACAGACCTTAAGCTCATCACCGTTCAATATCAACTCTCACCCTCTCCATGGACCATCCTTCCCCGAACCATTTCTTGCCGTAAAATTCAGGACTATAAACACTGCCACTTCGCCTAAGTTATCAATAACCTCCCCAACTACTTATCCAGATGTACTCCCCGTGACCTGGTCTCCCACTAACAACATTCTTCCATATAACCTCCTGAACAATCATGCTCCTCTCAAAAACCCGACCCGTCTCTTTCACGCTTTCTCAGCACCCTGGTTTCACCACGGCCCTTCCGTGCAGCTCAAAATCCATAAGGACTGTCAACTTGATCGGTCATCTCAATAAAACTGGACTCACCATTCACAAACAAATGTACAATAACCACAATTCATGCTATACAAGGAACATCTATCTGCTGCTCAATCCACCTACTACTCGGTTTAATCCACTCCAATCTCATAACTCCAAAAACTCTCTTCTAACCTTACTCACCAATATATCCAATCCCCTGACTCCCTTCCTCACCATATGCAATCCACTGACTTCTGTAACTCACTCTGTCACATCTTTACCTCCAAGTTCTCTGACATTCACCAACACCTGAACCCCACTTGGAGCTGCAGTCTCTGGATGGTGGACCCCCAGCCCCTAATCATCCATCATAGCCACATTCTCAGCTTCATATTGCCCTCAGGGTCCAATGCAATCTCCACTTTATCATTAAATCCAAACCTTCTACCTCTCTGCTCGACCCTATCCTACCGTTTCATGGTTCATATCCTGCCTCTCACTGCCCCCCCTCATCACTAATAATCATTCACTCATCTCTCAATTCTGGTACTGTCCCTCTCTCAATCAAAACCGCCCTCAGTTCTCACCCATTCTCATATTACCTGGGCACTGGGTTGCCAACCAAATTCAACAACCTCCGTCTCCATCTCAAACCTTCCCATTCATCTCCAAATTCTTGTAAAATATCGTCGCTGCTCGAACTCCCAAACCACCTCACCACCAACTACATTCTTCGTAACAATTTCATACTGTCTGGTTTCCGTCCCCTCACACAGCAACCGAAACAGCTTTCTAAAAAATCAATTACGATCTCCTCATAGACTCATTCGACTCCGGGTTTACTCTCCATCCTCATCCTTCTGGACCTCACTGCAGCTTTTGGACACCCATTTCTCACTCCCCCCTCTGAACAGTCTTACTCCATCGGCATCCCCAAACCCCCCTCGCCTGGTTCAACTCCTATCTTTTGTTCGCTCACAGTTCATTCATCTCAAATCCCACAATCCCGCACTTTTCCTGTCTCTGTCTGGTGTCCCCAGGGCTCTGTCCTGGGGGCCCCTCTCTTCATCATCTATATTCTCCCACTCAGGTCTCTTCCTCCACCTTCACAAACATCACTTCCACTGCTACGCGGATGACACCAAGCTCTACCTCTCAGCTAAACCATCTTATCTCTCCCTCCATCCTCCTCACCCTTTGTTACAAGAAATTAATTCCTGGTTCTCTTCATCTTTCTCAAACTCAATAGCTCACAAAACCTGATGTCCGTTTCTATAGGCACCCCCTCCACTATCTCCAATTTCCTGCATCTCAATTCTCCATCCATAAACTCGGTTTCCTCTCCCTCCTCAAGTCAAGAGTCTGGGTGTCATCCGCGTAGCAGTGGAAGTGAATGTTGTGACTGCGGAGGATCGTGACCGAGTGGGAAGAATATAGATGATGATGAGGTGGGGCCCTGGACAGAGCCCTGGGGGACACCAGCAGAGACAGGAAAAGTGCGGTTTTTGTGGGTTTTGAGATGAATGATTCTGTGAGCGAGCCAGAAAGATAGGAGGTGAACCAGGGAGTGGGGGTGGGGTGATGCGAGGAGGTGAGTCTGTTCTGGAGGGTGGATGAGAATGTGTCAAAAGCTGCAGTGAGGTCCAGAAGATGAGGATGGAGAGTAAACCGGAGGTCAGTAGGCTTTGAGGAGATCGTTAGTGATTTTTTGATGAGCTGTTTCCGGTGCTGGTGGAGGGTGACGGGAAACCAGACTGAATTGTCGTTCGTAGATGTTGTTGGTGGTGAGGTGGTTGTGGTGTTGAGCAGCGACAGATTTTCAAAGTATTTTGGAGGTTGAAGGGAAGGTTTGAGATGGGACGGAGGTTGTTGAAGTATGGTTGGATTCCAGGCCAGGTTTTTTGTGAAGGGTGGACTGAGGCGGTTTTGAATGAGAGAGGGGACAGTACCAGAAGTTGGAGATGAGTGAATGATTTTAGTGATGAGGGGGGGCAGTCTGGGGGTGGCAGGATTTGACCAGAACGGTAGGGAGAGGGTCGAAGCTGAGAGGTAGATGGTTTTGGATTTAATGTTAAAGTCGGGAGATGGCTTGGACGGAGGGCTAGATGAAGCTGGAGTATGTGGCTATGAGGGATCGAGTAGGGGGCTGGGGGTCCACTCCAAGTGACTGCAGCTCCATGTGGGGTAAAGGTGTTGGTGGATGGACTGAGTTGTTGGAGTAAGACGGGGACGTAGAGTGAGTTACAGGAAGTCAGTGTATTGGGCATATGTGTGGGAGGGAGTCAGGGGGTTTTGGTTATTTTGGTGAGAAAGAGAGAGAGAGTTTGGGAGTTTTGATGATTGGAGTGGATTTTACCGAGGATTTGTAGGTGGTGTGTGGCAGCAAGAGAGGATGTCCTTGTATAGCATGATGTGGTTATTGTACATTTGTTTGGATGGTGAAGTCAGTTTTATGAAGAGCGTTCAAGTTGACGTCCTTGGGATTTGAGCTGAACGGTGGCAGTGGTGACCAGGTGTGAGAGCGTGAAAGAGACGGTGTCGGGTTTGAGGAGGAGCCATGATGTTCGGGAGGTTATTGGAGGAAGTGTATGTAGTGGGAGAACCTGGTCATCGGGGGGAGTCATTGGGATCAGTAGGTGGGGAGGGTTATTTGATATCTGACGCGAAGGTGGGCAGTGTTTATGTCATGAATTTTTCGGAAAGAAATGGTTCGGGGTAGGATGGTCTTGGAGAGGGTGAGGTTGTTATTGAAGGTGTGGCTTTGGTCTGTGTATGGGAGTGGGTGAGGTTTACAGTCAGTGGGAGTGAGACACAGAGCAGCAGATTAAGTCCAAAATGTGACCTTTAGTGTGGGTGGGGAATTGAATGTGTGTTGTAAACCAAAACTATCTAAACAGGAGGAGAATTTTGGTGAGAGGGTTGCTTTTATTGTCCATGTGAATGTTGAAGTCACCAAGTATGACTGCGTTATGTGAGATTGATGAGAAGTGAGTTAGCAAGGTGAGAAATGTCATTAAAAAGCCTTATTAAGTTTTGGGAGGGCGGTAGATGGTGGCAACAACAGTAGGAGGTAGGTCCCGGCTGCAGTGAGGCAGTTACTCGAAGGAGGAGAAGGACAGGGGCAGCAGGCATCAGGGGTGGACTTTCCAAGTCTCGCGGTGAAGCATCGCGAGACCTCGCCCCGGCGGCCACAGCTGCGGGGCTGGCAGTTGGATAAACAAACCCGGCTGGAGTGGAGTCGTTCAACGCGGCAAAGCATTTGCTGCTGCCAGGTTTTCGGTCAAAACTCAAGAAAAAGGTCCAGCTTCGGTCGACGGAGGAAATCCCGGACAGATGGCCCTTGTGTTGAGGGAGCGCACGGTGAGGAGACAGATGATCGACGGTGGTGGAGATGTTATTGGCTGCTCGCGGGCTGGAACGTCTGGGCCACGCTGCCAGGACACTGTTCTGGCGTCCTCGACCTGCGGCGTTTGTGTATGTGAGCCAGCGGATGCCAAGCGCGGCCAGCGTTATCTCACTGAAACCTATACTGGTTAATACTGCAGTGGCAAATGACTCATTAGTCATGTTACTAACAGTTAGTAAGAGTTTTTGTGAGTATAAAACTAGGATGTTTACTCTTTCGTTTCAACAATATATAAGCCATGTTACATGAATCAGAATATATATTCATCTTTTAAATTCATTACAAAGTATAATGGGCAAATAACAATGAAACAATCAACGGCCTCCTTATTGGCCCCATGGAATTAAATTCACTCTTTGCAAATACATGCACAAACATACATTATCATTTGTAGAAGAATGGAGGTTCTTTTATGTTGGGGACACATATCGTCTGGATATTTTATCGTTGTTGCTGGTTTGGCAGGAGTTCACAGGTCTGTCATTGTAGGAGAGGAAAAGGAAACAGGACAAAGGAAAAGCGTATTTATTAATTTTTCTATTGCTAATAAACACATTAATCAGCCATTGCTTATGTGTCTGGCAAACCAAAAACAGAGGTAGCTCAATTGGAAACTGTCATTATAAAGGTTCTAGGAAATAAATGGAACAAATAATAATAGCATAATTTGCTAATGTAGCATGTTAGCTGATTAGCTGCAGTCAAACGCAGTTGGGAATACTCTCTTTTTGCAAATTATTTGATTAAATAATAAAAAAATAATTAGCAACATAAATCTTCCTTACAAATTCGTCTAAGTCACAACGTAACGTAAGAGCTTACTTTCTTGGGTCATAAAATGCACATATCATGTACAAAGTCTTGATTTCACTATAGTTTAAACTATTCTAATCAATTTACAATTATGTTTGCATATTTGTTTGAGCCATATTCTTAATCATATTTTTTTAATCTAATAAATCTCTCTGTGGTTTACTTTCTTTTATCAGTGGCTTTGTGTCAGTGGGATTTTGCTTCTATGTATATTCAGGAATATTAATGAACACAGAAAGACAAAATGGTCTAATATGAACATTATTTGGCGGTCAGTTTTCCAAATACATTTGTTGAACCAGGATGTGGAGCATCTCCTCCTTCAGGCAGTTTGGGATGTTTGTACATCAATAATCAAAGTTGTACAATCATGCGCGTCGGGGTCCGCTTTGCCCTGTCGGTAATTTATTTTCGATAATGTCCTGCGTAATATACGGTATCACGGCTTTTATTCGGCTTTTTTACCAACAGTACACACAACATAAACTTCTGTCCACTTTTAGAATGCCGAAAGGTTTATTTATATGGACTAGGGAGAATAAAAATAGTTCCCAAAAGGGCTTTCCGTGGCTATGCTAGCAACTAGTTAGGCTGGCATCTTCCAATAACTAGAACTCTCTGGAAATGATGAAAATGAACAAAGGATTTCTGAAGCATCAGGGTGGTGTGACCCAAACATAAACTTACCTATATCCTAATTCGATCCTCTGCAAATGATCCTAAATTGTGCCGGTATCTTAAATATGTGCCGTATTACTCCGGGTTTTTCGGGATGCCGTTTCTGTTTACATCAGTGTTTTTGTTTGAAAACGGAACGGAAAATTCTGATACTTCGTGCAATTGTATTAAGACGGGATTTGTATATTTCACTCTCCGATTATCATTCATTGCGTTGATTGATTGGCATTTGCGTTTTTGAGAGCGGCGGAACTATTCCGGGGTTTTCAACGATCCTTTTTTGACGGAGAGAAATATATTTTGTCATGTAGGACAAGACCAGAAATTTCTGAAATCTCAGTGCACGTGTTGTGATAGATTGTTTTTGTATAAGTATTCTCGATTAACATTTAAGTGTGTGATTGATGCGTGGTAGCTCCGGTGTGGCCAGAACTACTTTGCGGAGTTATACCGCTCAATTCAACACACTTAAATGTTAACGGAGTATATACTTATACATTACATTTTAACACGTGCACGGAGTTTTCTGTTTTTTATGGTACTTGTCTTCAATGACAAAAATACTTTTTCTTGCGATCAAAAAGCGATCGTGAAAAACACGAAGTAGTTCCGGGATGAGTCGTACGCTCAAATTAACGAAATGCCATATCATTCTACGCAATGAATTGTTAATCGGAGAGTATGATTTTTACAATTCCAGTCTTTGAATAAAGTGCACGGAAGTTTATCAGAATGTTCGTTTCCGGTTTCATAACAAAAACACTGATGTATACAGAATAGGCGGATTCCGAAAATCCGGATGTAGTTTACCGGCACATTTAAGTGTACCGGCACATTTTAGGTATACATGTGAAGAGGATCGAATTATGGATTTAGGTTTAAGTTTATGTTTGGTCACTCACCGCTGATGTTCAGAATTCTTTGTTCAGTTTTCATGCATTAAGAGTGTTCTAGTTTGGAAGTTGCCAAGCACCTATCTGTTCTTGCTAGCCACGGGAAAGCCTTTGGGAATACTATTTTTATTCTCTGTCCATTAAATAAACCTTTCGGCTTTCCTATAAGTGGACTGTAGTTAATGTTGTGTGTTCTGTGGTTATATAAGCAGTTTAATAAGCGGTGATAACGTTTATTACGCAGGTCATTATCGGAAAATAAGTACCGACAGGGGCAAAGCGGACCAAGACGCGCATGATTGTACATCTTTGATTATTGATGTTCAATCATCCCCTAACTGCTGAGAGGAGGGAAAGTGACATCTCTTCCTGTTCAACAAATGTATTTGGGGAGAACTGACCGCCTAAAAATGTTATTTTAACCATTTGTCTTTTCTGTGTTCTAGTTTTATTCCTGATTGACATATGAGGCAAGAATCCACTGAACAAAGACACATGATATGAAATGTAATCACAGAGAGATTTATTAGATTAAATATATAGGTTTAATGAATATGCTCAAAGCAAAAATGCAAAACATTTTGTAAATTGAGTAGAATAGTTTTAAAACTATTGTGATCATGACTTGTACATTGTTTGGTGATTTTTATGACCAAGAAGTTAAGCTCCTGTAGTTCTTGTGATCTTTAGTAAGAATTGTGAAGGAAGATTTATGTTGCTAATTTATAATTATTGCAAAGAGTGTTTTCCCGATCTGCGTTTGTCTGGCAGCTAATCATGCTAACTATGCTACATTAAGCTAATTAATTGCTATTATGATTGTCATTTATTTCCTGAACTTTATAATGACAGTTGTCCCATTTGAGCTACCTCTGTTTGTGCGTTTGCCCAGACATTAAGCTTTTGGTTGTGTAATGTGTTATTTGCTATAGAATATGATTAATATCTCTTTTCCTTTGTCTGCTTTCTGTTTCCTAAGCTTACAATGTACAGACTGTGATCTCCCTGCCAAACCTGCAACAAGTCTGATAAAAAGATCATGTCGATTGTGGTCCCATCCATAAAAGAACCTCTTTATTCACAATGTTAATGTATGTTTGTGCTATGTTTTGCAAAGATGTGTGTTTTAATTCTTGGGGCCAACTATGGAGACTTTTGATGGTTCATTGTTAGGCCCTGTTATAGCTTTGTTATGCATTTTAAATGATGAATATATATTTCTGTATTCATGTCTCATGGCTTTATTATTGTTGTACGAAAGAGTTAGTCATCTTGTGTTTTTTCTCCACATAAAATCTCTTAACTAACTGTTAGTATCTGATAATGAGTATGCAACTGCTTTATTAACCAGTATGGTTCAGTGAATTGTTGTGAACGCTGGCGCGCTGTGGGCAGACGATGTCACAGAACAAAACGCCGCTGGTCGGGTCGTGGACTGTGCTCCTGGGCTGAGTGCCGATCATCGGCTCAGCCAGCGGCAGCCAAGAACTGCTCCAACCACCGTCTGCTTCGGTCTCTATATAGTGCGCTCCCTCAACACCAAGGGCCCATTGGTCCGGCGATGTCCTCGTCGGACGTAAAGCTGGACTTCTTGTGTTTGACCGAAAACCAGGCAGCAGCCATTTGACTTTGCCGCGTTGGTTGATACGACTCCACTCCACCGGGGTTTGTTTACATCTGCCAGCCACGTGATGTGGCCGCCGGGGCGGAGGTCTCGCTGATGTTCACCCGCGAGTCTTGGAAAGTCACTACTGTGCCTGCTGCCCTGTCTTCTCTCCTTCGAGTACTCTGCCTCATGCTGCCCTGACCTTCTCCTACTGTTGTTGCCACCATCTACCGCCCGCAAAACTTAATAAGACTTTTTTAGATGGACTTTTTCACCTTCTAACACACTTTCATTTATCTCTCTTAACGCAGTCTACTTGGGGGGACTTATCATTTCACATGGACAATTATTGCAACACTCTCACACAATATGATTCCCTCCTGTTTAGTTAGTTTGTGTGTACAACAAACACTTTCATTTCCCCAACACAATATAGGTCACATTGGACTTAATTGCTGCTTGGTATCAACTCCCACTGACTGTAAACCTCACACACTCCCATACACATGACATAAAGCTATACCTTTCAATATCAACTCACCCTCTCCAAGACCATCACTCCACGATCCATGTTCTTTCCGTAAAATTCAGGACATAAACACTGCCACCTTCGACTCAGAATATCAAAACAATCCCCAATTCACTGATCACAATGACTCCACCGATGACCTGTCCTCCCACTTCAACCTTCTCTCCATAAACCTCCTGTACATTCATGCGCCTCTCAAAACCCGCGACCCGTCTCTTTCACGTGACTAGCACCCGGGTTCCACCACTGCCCTCCGTCAGCTCAATCCCAAGGACGTCAACTTGAACGGCTCTTCACTAAAACTGGACTCACCATTCTCAAAAACATAGGTACA